TAAGTCCGCGCGGAGGGGGCCCGAGCTGGCCGCGCCAGAGGGGGCCGGGGGCCTAACCGAGCGACTTTGCGTGCCGCAGCCAGACGACCGACGCCGGGAATCCCAGGAATTCGAATAACGAGCCGGCTACTGTGATACACTGCTCGACCACCTTTCCGATCCTCATCGATCTTCGTCCGGCCGTTCCAGGATCGACCACGGTGTTAATCACGGCTCCTCCTCGTCCCGGCCCTGACATCCTCCGGCTCTGCTTTTATTTTTGCGAGCCCGCTCGTTTACCACCGTCCCCTTTCTTGCCCCGTCGGTCCTCCTCTCTCTCTCTCTCTCTCTCTTTGTTCCGCTGTGTCCATCGTTATTGATTACTGACGCGACTGTGACACCGTCGATCCTCCGTTTCTGGTCTACCGTGCGGACCCCGATGGGGAACTAATGGGTCCTGTGTTTTGGGAGCTCGGGGATCGTTCGCTTCGATGTCGGACTCGGGAAGTTGCGCTGGAATTCGAGCAGTTACGATGACAAGTGGGGTCATCGGTTTTTCGCGCGAAATACGAGGACGCTTATTTTCCGTCGCCGACGATTAAAATCTGCGGACCGAAGATAACGCTCGCGATTACTGAGAATTAAGGAAACTTGCGCCATCGTCGGAGACCGTAAATAGCATTGCCCGCGAACGACGCAGGTCTTAAAAAGATAAAAAATAAAGAAGTGGCACCATGCGATCCGAACCTCGAATGACGCGAAACTAATTGAGCCATGAGCAAGCCGCGGTACCGATGCGAAGATAACACCCCGATTTCTATGGCTCTGATCTGTGTTATGTCGCTTTAACTTCGGAAGTACGTACCGGCCGGATCAGCCGTACGAATATGATTTCTTGTTTTACGATTATCGAAGCCGTAAAGCGCTTTATACGGGATATTATTAAATACATTTCTTTATTCCCGTACATATTACAATAAAACTCACGCAAGATCTCCATAAAAGCGCCCTTCCAAGGTTTACGGCAATACAAACCAGTCGCAGCTTGGAACTTCGCGTATTAAAGTTATAGCGTGCATTTGGACGTTACTGTTTCACGCGCTGTTTCACGATTCGGACCCCAACTTCCATGAATTTATTACTCGAAATCTGTTGCGCGGCGATGTTCGACAGCTGGTTCTAGAATCTTGGATCTCGTTGATGCTTTTCATTCAATGAGACATATGTTTGTTAAAATATCGACGTCAAGCTTCGTCGCTTTTGTCGGCAAACTTATAGTAGAGACGCGAGCTTGGCTGTTTATTTTTTAACTCGAAAATTAGCAATTTATAAATTGCGTGCAACATTCGTTATTGTACGTTTTATACTTTCACGGATTTATTAGAAATATTGTTTAACTCGCGACCAATTTTATAACGACCCCTTTAATCGTTTGAGTTCAAGGGGTCATTGAAAAAACAGTCGAAAAATGCCGAACAGAGCGACACTGCTTGTCTTAATATGCGTACTATTAGTTTACAAATATTTCAAGTCTTGTTCAATGAGAATTATTGAGAAGAAGACAATGGAATACAAAATGTGTCAGTTGTATTATTTACATTTTTAAAAAAGCAGCTGTGCAATGTAAGTGCGTCGATAAAGTTGAACGCGCTCTTTCGACGGTATGCGAGTGCAATTGTCAATTATTCCATAGCGTTCAAACGTCCTTTTTTCGACACAAAATCTATACAACGCGATCGCGCTGCTTGAGACTCAAGCGGTCAAACAATACCAGTATTTCTTATCCTTCTCGGTGTCGGTAGCTCAAACAGCTGCAAGCTGCAGTAAATTCTCCCTAATTGACGCTCAGATTGTACAAAAAAATGGGCAATTTGAGAAGAGAAGATGCGATTATTTATAATTACCGATTGCCAGCAACTATAAAAACGATCCATAAGCCTCGAATAATCGTGTCTCCTCTTCCCAAATTGTCTATTTTTGTTTCCAAGCTGAGTGTCAATTAGAGAGAACTTATTCGCGCGCAGAACTTTTTTACGTAGCCGAAATCGCCGCATCGCAGGCCAGACATCGGGCGTCCAAAAAAATCCGTCAATCTCCCCGGCAACAACAGCCTCCCACAATGCGAGTCCCAGGATCGGCGGTCGTAGCCTGCGATTCGAATCACCGAATCCTTACTTATCGCGGTGCCTCCTCCGAGACAGTCACCGTTCTCCAATTTCGATCGACTTATCCTCCGCCCGCTCCTCCATATTTATGCGCTTCGATCGGCCCGCGATCCTGCGGCTTATCACGAGGCTGCGAGTACGAAACCCCGCGAAAGTCCTGCTACACTCCTGCAGTCCCCGTCGGGTGGTTGGGGGTGGGGTCCGACGAGTAAATGCGACGGAGCCGCATAAAGACGCGACGAAATACGAGCGGGAAGCCACGGTGCCGATACCTCGTCGAAGAGCATCGGGGAAGGAGTTGGACGCTGCGGAGGAGTACCGAGACGAACAAGAAGAAGAAGAAGAAGACGAAGAAGAGGTTGCCAGAGCTCGGTATATCTCTAATAAAAAAAAAAACATTGGATGTAGTGTTCCAAGTGGTTGTAGTTTAATTGGAACGGTATATGTACTTCAAGACTCGCACTATTTTCTGGTTCGTGTAAAAGTACGGTCGAAGATGTCCCGGGTGCCGAGTCCTGCTTGTGACAGTGATCTCGAACGGCATGCGTTAACTAGGAATATTGCGCTGTACACCGTTCGAAATCGATGCAGGATTTTGTTCCTCCGCTGTCGATGTTCGGGCGTCCAAGTAAATATAAACAGTTGGCAGGTAGATAGTTGTTTTTTCTAATTTTATTTAATTTTTTTCTAATTCTATTTTCTAATTCTAAATAACGATTCTTGAAGACAAAGAAGTTTTTGTGGGATGCATAAACATAACGATGAAGGTGCAAGATGACGCGAATCATTTTCAAATAGAAAATTCCTGAAGACAAAGAAGTTCTAGTAGGAAGTTCTAACATAATTGTACATAATACGCAAAGAAATAATGCACAAAACTATATAGTAATGGCAGAAAACTTTCTTTCAAACAGCCACTCTGGTAGAACCAGAATTTCGCATTCGGTCTGACTTAACGCTGGATTTACGGAGCCCAGAAAACAGCTGTTTCATATTAGTTTATAAAAGTAACAATAAGGCGTTCATTTTGATTTTTAACAAGTGTCATTGTAACATTCGTACGTAACATATAAGTAACATATAAATGGAACAAATAACTCATCAAATCTATCTTTACGATATGAATAATCGTGAATTAAAAAATCAGTGACCCGCCATTTTAACGGGTTCCGCAAACCTAATGTTAACATCTCAAAGACTTCGGATCCGATATATCTGCACGAAGAATTCCGCTTTCGGTTTTGATTTAGCCACGAGTCTCGAAGAACGTCGACTTCGTACCTAGAAGAGAAGAAAATCTCGCAGAAGAAACGTCGACGGATCTGACCGGTCCGAATTCAGCAGCTCGAAACGTAGGCACCAGGGTCCAGGAAAGGCTCGCCGAGAGCATTTTCATTTTTCATTGGACGTGCCGTTTCGCCGAGCGCCGGAGGTCGCAGGAGGAAGAGCCGGGGCTCGGAAGAAGAGAGGTCCGCTCGGAAGAAGGAGCAGGAAGAAGGGCGAGGAGGACGGCGAGGGAGAGATCTACTGCAAGGGCGCGGCGAGGGTCCGCGATGGAAAAGAAGGAAGAAAAGAGGTGTGGCACGGACCTCTCTCCGGCATTGTCCGGCCGTGGAGCTCGCGCACGCCGGGACTGGTCCACGCACCATCCGAATCTATCTACATACGGCATACCATACGCGCTCACGCATACGGGGAAAAAGAAGTCCTCTCTCTCCGCGTGGCTGTCGTGTCTCGGTTGCTGGTGTTGGGTACGCGCGTGCTCCCTGCGTGTCCCTCTTCGGCGTTCACGTGCGCGTGTGTATGCTACCCGTCCCCTACGAGAGAGAAGGATGAACGAAGAGACAGAGAGAGCGAGAGAGAGAGAGGAGAGACACGCGTGTGAGTACCGCGGTTAACTCGACGACCGCAGCACACAGCCGCACGACAGACCCGACCGGTATTCAAAGTCAGAACGCGCGGGCAACGGGGCGAGAGGAGATCCCGGACCGGTAGAGAGGGAGTTAGGCACGAGCCTAACTGCAACCAGCATCCCACGCGCTCCGGACCAACATTTAGTAGCCTCGGTGGGTCTCCGTCTCTCTTGGGTCGCGCGGCCGTACCCCCGTAACGGCGTCCTTCTCGCTCGGCCGCGTCGACCCGTGTCCTTTGTACGCGCGTACATGACGAGACATACGTACACGGCCGACCATTAGACGCGAGTACGCTGCTTAAGAGTTGTCTCTCCTCTCCGTCGCTCTCCCGCTTCGTCGATCTCTCTCGATCCGCTCGACGACGCGTGTCTTGACCCTGTTCCCGTCTCTTTCTCGGCGAGAGTCGGCCGCGTTCGACCGTCCTCTTCCACGTCTCCGAGAGAGGAGAATGAATCCTCCGCATCACCGCGCCGCTCCGCTCTGCTCCGCGCCGCTCGTAAAGCGAGGCAGCGCGCGTTTCGTCCGCGCGCGGGGCGCCCGCTAAGAAAGTCGAAAATTCGTGTCGGGATTACGTGTTTCGGACCGTTAAGCGACCCCTTGCACGTGGAGACACCTCGCAGCACGCGCTACACAAGGGCCCCGCCGCGCCGATACGAAATTAGATACCGTGCAGGCCTATTAACTAAGCCGGATCGATGTCTACCGACGCTAGATCGCTTTATCCGGCGATTCCGCGCGAGCAGACCCGCTCCCTCCGCCCCACCCCACCCTTGTAATTAGGCTTTCCCGTAGCGGCGTGTCGCGCCGCGGCAATCGACGTTTCCTGTTTGCGGCTTTTCCAACGGTTTTGCTTTTTGCTCCCGTCGAGATCTTTCCCGCTTTTTGCTGCCGCAGAATGATTTCAGGAAACTGATGTTCGTTTGTGGATTTTTGTTCGTTTCAGGAACTCGTTCGAAAAGGTCTATTCGATGGGAATCGCGAAAATTCACCTCGTGAAAATCGGGAGCAACTTTGCCACGCCCACTCCGGGCCCTCTGAACGAAGTCTGAGAGGTAGATATAGTCTTCCGTTGGAATACTGATAGGATTTAGGAAGGATCAGTCTCTTGTAAATCGCTGTAAATCCTACAGGAGAGGAGATTGTCCCGTAAAACACTGTTCTGGCTCCATAGAAATGGAGAGCATCGAAGCCACGCCCACCGATGTGCTTTAATAGAAAAGATTTTTTGGTGTCCCCGTCGCTATTGAATTTGGAAGATCTGGTATCTCTCTTTTCTCCGATGGTGTTCCTCGCGAAATAAATCGGTGCCGAGTGCACCCTCCTCTATCGATGTAAACTTCGTGCTTAGTCTAAAACGAAGTTAGAGTGCACGCGATCGTTTTATGGATATGGATCTAGTTCCCGATGCGTTGATGTCAAGATTAGTGTCCGCTGTCAATTACGGCGTGGAGCAGAATTTATTCAGAATTTCTTCAAAGGTTGGAGGAACACGGCCCGACAGAGATACAGCTCGCGCTTATTCGCTGTTGGTGGACGTTTTATGGATATTGATCAAGTAATCAAGTAACGCAGCCTAGATCTTGATATCGCATAGGTTCGAGAAACGATCACGAAATTCCTGCACAGGTCCTCGGAGTTCGTTCAGCAGCGTGTAATAATCCGAGAAAATTGAAACTATGACAAACGTTGTTCCCGGCCACTTTCGATTAAGCCCGAGGACATTTTATGGGTATCGATCCAGCGATTCAGGTGCTAATAAATTAACAGCAGTTCGATCGATTCTGCTGCAAATGGAACTGACACGTGATAGTTACAGCCGATCGTCGAGTCGGGGAAAATTCATGTGGAACACATTCGAGCCAATAATGCTAGAAAATTAGGATTGTAAGAGCCTTGGTTTATACCAGTCTCAATGTACCCGGAGGATATTTTATAGACATCAATCTGGCGGGCCGATAAATTAATTCGAGCGAAGTTTCGAACGGAGCTGAACCTATGGTTCTTGGGCAAACAAAACTCGCGCGTATAATCCGGACGACTTCGAATATAGGACGTTTCGTATCGATCCAGCGATCCAGGTGTTAATAGACTGACTGTAATTCCGCTCACGGATGATGTTCGAAATCCAGTTAAAACTTAATGCTATAATACGAATCGGTGCTCGGAGATTAGGACTGACAGACGTTGCCTTATGCTTTCGTTGAACCCCCGGGACATTTTATCGATAACGATCTAGAGTGCCCAGATGCTCGTAGATCGGCTATGCGCCGACCGATCTCATTCTAATTCCATTTAAACCATGGTACTAATAGATTCGGTTAACAAAAAGATCGCGTCGGATTGGAATGCAGTTTCGCGACAACAACAAAAGATGACTGAATTCGATGCATCCAACGTAGACAGTGGTTGCACGAAGGGTGTTCCAAGTTCCCCGATTCTGCAATCTTTGCGGAAAAGTTTTGTCGAAATGACAAGAATATTTTTATGTTCTATTATTTACGAAATATTCTGATATTCGCTACGCTAAATATTATTTTTAAGCGTCACATTAATACTGTAACTTATTTAGCTTCTCAAATGTATATTTTTGTACTTTGTACGATGATCCCATTTATTGTATATTGACACTTCGAGAAAAATAGGTTATTTCATCTGAAATTACTTTATACAGTAATGTCTCCCTAACTGACGCTCAGATTGTGCACAAAAATGGACAATTTAGGAAGAGGAGATACGATTATTCGAGCCTCGCAGCTTGTTTTTATAATTGTTGACAATTCGTGACTGTAAAATTGAACCGCAAGACTCGATTAATCGTATCTCCTCTTCCCAAATTGTCCAGTGTTGTGGACAATCTGAGCGTCAATTAGCGAGGAATTGAAATTCTTCCTAATTGACGCTCAGATTCTGCACAAAATTGGACAATTCGAGCCTCCTCGTTCGTTTTTATGGTTGTCGACGATCGGTAACTATAAAAACGAGCCACAAAGCTCGAATAATCGTATCTCCTCGTCCCAAAATTGTCCATTTTTGTGGACAATCCGAGCGTCAATTAGCCAGGGATTGAAATTCTCCCTAGTTGACGTTCAGATTCTGCACAAAATTGGACAATTCGAGCCTTCCGGCTCGTTTTTATGGTCGCCGACGATCGGTAATTATAAAAACGAGCCGCAAAGCTCGAATAATCGTATTTCCTCGTCTCAAAATTGTCCATTTTTGTGGACAATCCGAGCGTCAATTAGAGAGACATTACTGTACAAATATCTTTCGACGAAGTCGCTAGAAACGACGTCCATCACAAAAACAGCTTCGCTCTGTTAAAAGAACGAAATTGCCAAATAATAGAAAATCGGTCCAGCTCGAGGCTGGTTCCGGCTTCGATCGAGGAGATTTCGGTGGTCCAGGTGCGAACGGATTACGAGGCGATCCCATTCAGGATCCCGAGAGTTTCGAGGTGAAATCGTCGTGGCAACCGTTGGCACTCGTCTGGCTGGTAAAGCCGGCCGCGGAGCGGAGCGGCCGCGCGAGGATGTCCGGCGCATAACGTCGAGAAAATTAATGGTCGTCGTTATTCGACTCGTTCTCTCGGGGCCCCGGCAAGGATGCCGGGGATCAATGGCGGGACAACGAAGTTGTAACGTATAGGCTTAGAGAACGAAGCGTGCCGAATTTTATTTCCCCGGGATGATGTATTGCGCGTGGCCGTGACTCGGCGAGTACCGCTCGCGTCGACGGATCGGTTGACAAGATGTTGGAGGTGCCACGGGTACAAGCTGAGAGCACCGCGATTGGACCGTGAGAGAGCAAGAACGTTGTCCCGTCGCGGCGATCGGCTAGGAAAAAGCAGGCTTCCCGCTCGCGGTTACATGATCGCGGAACAGAAATCGATCGATCATTTCGCGGATGCTCCGCCGTGACGTCCTCAGATATCGGCACGCTCTCTCGGAAGAGGATGAGCCACGCGAGAGAAGTCGTACGTGGAATCGTAAGTCCGGTTGATCTAATTGGCGCTCGTCACGGTCCCGTTTCCCCCCGGGAAAGAGGAATTATTTATAACCGGCGTAAAAAGCCGCTGGGACACGGCTAGATCAGATCGTTCCCCGCGAAAAGCTCCGCGCCACGCCGCCGCACCGCCTTGCTCGCCGGATCGAACGGCTCGGCGATCCGATCGCGGATGTTATTCGTATTTCAATTTTTAAATGATTAATTAATGGGAACGGGACTCGCGCAGAAATAGAGATATGTCGGCGGACGTTCTCGATTGGATCGCTCGGGTTGGCGTCGCGGTTCTAAATCATTTTAAATCCGCTTGTTAAACGTTTATAATAATAATAATAATTTTATTCGTATCCAGTAAATTCTCCCTAATTCTCCTTCAGCTTGGAAACGAAAAAGGACAATTTAGGAAGAGGAGATACGGTTATTCGGGTCTCGGGCTCATTTTTATGGTTGCCGATTGTCAACGGTTGTAAAAACGAGGCGCAACGCTCGAATAATCGTATCTCCTCTTCCGAAATTGTTCATTTTTGTTTACAAGCTGAAGGAAAACTAGGGAGAATTTACTGTCAAAAATAAAAAGATATATAATGATACAATACAGAAAGTAAGAAGAAACGAAGAAGCGAATGAAATATTATTAAACGTGCAAGTAGTATCATTTGTGAAGTATCAATGCAGAAGAAAGGTTAACAAAAGTTGGAGGAAAAATTATGTTGTAGAATAGTGAACAGTAAGAGAAACAAGATCAGATTGTCAATCAAACGTCAATCAAATCTGCGAAAATAATGAAATAAGAGTCCATAGCGATTTCCATTGATTAATACACGGTCGAAGCAACTATGGTAACCATAGAGCGTACGGTGAAGTTCGTGAAGAAAGTTAGAAGTCTGCCTAAGAGAGCAAGATGGCGCATAGAAATATAATTTGTCTAACATATGGGGACAGTTGGTCGTTCCGTGAATAAATGATGAGCCTGCAACAATGCGACGCTGATCGAGTGTCATTAGTCAGGGTAGATGTAACAGGCGACCGCGATCACGGCAGTTGCTGATCATTTTTCCCTCGGAAACAGTTAACTTCCCCGGCCGGAATTTCGGCACGTGCCGCCGCGGCGGTCCCAGAATTCCGGGGCCAGAGTTCGATCACGAAGTAAACGTGTTCGAATTTAAAGACACTGTCGTATCAGTGCGGCGTCCCTGAATGGCGTCACGGTGCGACGATCATCGTCCGAGGTGACGAATTCCATGGCCAATCGTAACGTCACGCGTACGCACACCTACATTCAAATACTATGTGGACACGCCGGTGCATACGTACGCGCAGGGGGTGGAAGGGGAGGGGCCCGGGAGCGAACGTTTTAATTCACTCCCGGTTCATTGAGGCGGTTCGAGACCACGTTGACCGACCGCAGAACGGAATCCGACTGAGCCACCTCTTGCGGAATACCGCCACGAGTTAATGCGGTGCGTATTACACCATTACATGTGCCGTTTAATCATGCCCCGGCTAATGGTCCTCGGACTTCCTTTATCGGCGCTGTCGTCCCTCCGTCTGGACCGGCCGGCTCCCGTCGATTTTTTCCCCCCCGAACCACGATTTCCCGCCGGTTTTTCTCGTTTTCCGTCCCTACCCCGGCGTCGCGGCGCGAGGATCAAGATCGTCGAGATCGACAACGCGACCGCGAGATCGGAGCTCTCTTGCCTCATTAATCGGCAGCAATCCGGCCGATTACCGGGGCCGACCTGCTCCGATCCGAGAGATGAACCCGAGAGATAATCGGCTCGCTCGATCCCGACCGATTAAACCGACCTTGGTGTCGCGATGCTTGCGGCTTTCTTTCGGGCCGATTGGCTGGGAACGAGATCGGGAAATGCGCACCGGCCGGCGTACAGCGTTCTGGAGAGCTTAAGCAATATGTATTCCGCGCTGGGAATCAGCTTAACGATCGAAACAGAGATCGTTTTTGCGCTTCGGAGTGCTCTGAGTCAGCCGACGATCTTCCGAATCGGAGAACGGGCGCAGATGTTCGTCGGACGGGTGCCTCGCGTTGGTTAAGCATTTCTATTTTTATGGGGGTATTAATGGGCGTAACGAACACGGGACCTTGGTTAAGGGTTGTTTTCTTTATTTCTGAGAATTTTCTATTTTTTAGAATTCAGTGTTATTACCAGACCGTCGATCTCGTGCTTTGTTGGCGAAACGAAGTAGTTGCAATAGCAAAAGGAATGAAAGAATGTAAAAATGTCGGAAAGAGAGAGAGAAAGAAAGGTACTGCGGAAAGAAAGAACTGCGGAAGGGACGAATCACGGAAAGAAAGAACTTGCTATACGATTTCTATTTTTTTGCGATTGATCTAGACAATTTGTACTTGGCATAAAAATCCGCGGTCCAGTTATCGCGTATCTTTTATCCTGGAATGAAGCAACATTCGACCGTTCGACCGCTGGAATATACGGAATGCAATAAATTTTCTTGTTGTAACAGGAAATTATGGACGAGCAGGAGGTTCGGAACAGTGTAGACTACATGATGAAGCGAGGGGTTAATATATTACATTAACAAGACCGCAAGTGTCTCCCTCAATCTTCCTAATCACAATTACGCCGACTTCCAACGAGTCGGATGCCAAAAAAGAAGAAGAGCCAGACCATTATTATAAAATAACCTTGACATCGTGCTAGCAGCCGAACGTAGGTTACAACCCGGCGTTTCTCTCAATTAATTCAGTAATTAATTGCTGGCCAATCGTGTCCAATTCGAAAGCTTCCCAGGGAGTCGCATTTCTCAGGCGATGATCAACGAAGGCTGCCTTTCACGTCAAATTGAATGTCCTCGCGCTGAAGCGATCGTTATTTTCATACGTTTAGCTCGAATTAACTGTAAACGGCGGATCGAGTATCAGCCCGTCCCCGGTTTATTGCTCGATGTAATCGCTGTGCCAGGCCTTCGCGTTTCGCTATGACAGCAACGCGTTTGTTTCTTCCTATCTTCGTCGCCGAGCCCCTCTCCTCCCGTCGCCCCTCGCCGCGTCGGTCCTCGTCGTTGCCGTCGTCGTCGCCGTCGTCGTCCGCTGCAAATTTCCTCGCTCGCGCCGGCCTGAACTTACATTACATCACGCGACACATTGTGTTTCATTACGCGGCATTTCCTCCGCGCGAATTCCTCGCTCGCGCCACTTTACCCTTTCGTTCTGCGCGACCGAGTGCCAGCGAGCGGCCTCGAGAACCCCTCGAAGCCAAATCGAATCGCTTAGGTAGGCGAGCGAAAAAGTATCTGTTTGTGATCGTCGATAAAGTGTCATTCGATGAGATCAGAGCCTGTCATTGGGGCCTCGTTAGGGCCCGGTCAAATTGGTGCAAAAGAGAAATATTTAGAAGAAATGGAAAGGGTAGTTAGCCCTTAGATCTGTCTTGATTGGATTCGTGATATTATTGCGCTAAAATGAT